GGACATGGAAATCCCAGGCACAAATACAGGTTGGGCAGAGTACGGCTGGAGAGCAGCCCTGAGGAGAAGGACTTGGGGGGGTTGGGGGATGAAAAGATCAACATGAGCCGGCAGGGAGCGCTGGCAGCCCAGAGAGCCAACCCCATCCTGGGCTGCATCAAAAGAAGGGTGGCCAGCAGGTCCAGGGAGGTGATTTTACCTCTCTGCTCTGTGCTCGTGAGACCCCACCTGGAGTGCTGTGTCCAGCTCAGGAGTGCTCAGCACAGGAAGGACATGGACCTGTTGGAACAGGTCCAGTGGAGGCCATGAAAATGCTCAGAGGGATGGAGCACCTCTGCTGTGAGGACAGGCTGAGAGAGTTGGGGTTGTTCAGCCTGGAGAAGAGAAGGCTCCAGGGAGACCTTACAGCAGCCTTCCAGTACCTGAAGGGGCTACTGGAGAGATGGGGAGGGGCTCTTGGTCAGGGAGTGAAGCGATAGAACAAGGGGTAATGGTTTTAAACTGAAAGAGGAAGATTTACCAGAAAGAAATTCTTTGCTGTGAGGGTGGTGAGACACTGGAACAGGTTGCCCAGAGAAGCTGTGGCTGCCCCATCCCTGGAGGGGTTCAAGGCCAGGCTGGATGGGGCTTGGAGCAACCTGGTCTGGTGGGAGGTGTCCCTGCCCAGGGCAGGGAGGTTGAAACTCGATGATCTTTACGGTCTCTTCCAACCCCAACCATTCTGAGATTCTATGATAAGTGTGCAACTGGCACTGCAAAGCTCCTGGACCTAAGCACCCCTTGATGTGCTTCATTCTGTGCAGGAGTAACGACATGGTAAATCAGTCTGAAAAACATGATTATAACCCCAGAACCCACCAAGGCTTCAGTAGTCAGCACTGAAATTAAATGTCATAAAATTCAGGCACCCAGATTTCTCTGCTTTGCTTTTGCACATGACAAGTCCTCTCACAGTAGTTCTCTGCATCCCTCCCTGTGCTCCCAATGCCACTGGCACAAAGCTGTAGTCGTCAGGTGATACTTGAAATATATTTATTAGTTATGTCACAGTTCTCCCTCCGTGAAACAAAAAGGATAGGAATGCTACTCAGAGTGACTGAAGTGGAAGGAATATGTCCTTCTTGCACTCCTGCTTCGTTTCTATTAATTTGCCAGATGTAAGGTTGCCCATCCTAACCTCACAAGCATTTAATTCCTTCCCACCTCAAACTCTATACGCTTGTTGGGGTCCCTTCCAGAGCTCGTGACTCAGGGACCACCCTTTGTATTTCTAAAATTTGCATTTCCTAATTGGAGGGAAGGGAGCCACCAAGAAAATGAAGTGCCTCACTTCCTCATTGACAAGAGACTAAGGCAGCATCACAGTATCGCAGAAGGGCTGAGGTCAACAGGGACCTTCTGGAGGTCTCTGTCAAATCCTCCTGGCTCAAAGGGGTCACCTACAGCCAGGTGCCCAAGACAATGTCCAGATGACTTTTGAGTATCTCCAAGGATGGAGACTCCAAAACCTCCCTGGGCAACCTGTGCCAACACTAAGACACCCTCACAGTGAAAAAGTGTCTCCTGGCACTCAGAGGGAACCTCCTATGTTTCGGTTTGTGCCCGTTGCCTCTGGTCCCATCACTGGGCACCACTGGAAAGAGCCTGGCTCCTTCTTCACACTCTCCCTTCAGGTATTTACTATACATTGGTGAGATGTCTCTGAAGCCTCCTCTTCTCTAACAGTCCCAGAAAGCAGAGTAGTAAATTGAAGGATGAATTGGGTGGCTATTGCTCAGCACTTCCTTCTGCTGAGTGGGTCAAAAGCAAAAATGCCTTTCTTTCCCTATTGCTTTTCCTGCCTTCCCCATGCAAACATCCCCTAAATGTCATGCTGTCACCTTTTCCCATCAAACACCAAGTACCTGGAATCTTCCCATATCAGAACAAGAAATGTTTTAGTCTGGAAAGACATGCAAATAGAACAGCTCATGCCACAAATATGAACTTGTTTGGTTAGTTTTAGGCTTTGGACTGATTTGTGAGTGATTTATGATTACATATGAATAAAAAATAATCAGAAACTGTGGAGTGATAGTGGTGTATGTACAAAGAGGAGAGCTGCTCCTGTTACACATGGGAATGTATGGGCCATAATCTCATTCTTCTGAGGTTGTGAAAGGTGTGCTATGTGACTAATTAATTTCACTAATATATGACAAGCCACTTTCATAATGGAAAAAATTACTTTCGTAGATAATTTGTTTTTCAACAACTTGTGATAGTTGTTACCCTCCTAAGGGTTCATATTTTCCACTATGCAGAAAACTGGTATGGAATAAAAAAACCCTGATAGACTCAAAAACTGCATTTAGCTTCAAAACAGAAGTTTGTGGGTTGTTGGTTTTTTTAATATATATAAGCTACAGTCTTTGAGGTTTTTGGTCAGAAGACAACCATGTGTTTCATGTGGCCTCTGTTTACAAAAAGGAAAATATAATTATTTCTGGGGAAAAGCAACTAGATTACACTGTAGGAAAAGGAGATTTAGTGCTGTAGTGTTCCAGAGTACTCAGATGGAAATTCAGCTCAAGAACTCTGTACTGAATTTAGGGCACAGATTTACCAGTTGTCTCTGTTCTTGCCTTGCCCTTAAACATATAGCTGTATTTGTACTGAACTGAATGGGATTTGCTGTGGAGGTAACAAGCAAGACTTGTTCTCTTTTGAGTTTAATATAGGGTAGTGACTTTGCTGACTTCAGCAGAGTAACTCTTGTTTTATACCACTATAAGCAAGAGCAAAGCCAGATTAGGAACGAACCTCAAAGTGACAGAGTTCAGATACATATTTAATCTTTGTCAAATGAAACATTTGGGAAAAAATGCATTGCTCACTGCTCTTACCATTCTCTCTGCAAATGCATTGTGAAATGGCTTGTGGTGATGTTTTTTTAATAACCTGTATAATGTTAGTAATGAGCACCCATAGTATCCAAACGTTAACTCTCCTCTTCTCCAGTGTAAATCCAATCACTTTAAATGAGGTATAACTTGGTACTAGAGAAGACAGAATTGGCTAGTTCACTGCGTGTAGGTACAAATAATACAGTTGAACTGAGTGATAGATAGACAGACCTAAAATGTACCAGATCTGCTCCCCTGCCCAAGGCTGGCACAGAAGAGAAGCAAAACTTCCTCCCTTCCTGCCCTCGATATTCAGATCCATTAGACACACCCTCACATGTCTTAATTTGTTCTTCTCCATTTGTGTTGGCCATTCCTTTTGTAACAGGCCAGTCTCCCCCACCCAAGACCAGCAGCTAGGCAGGCAAATGGGGCCATACCCTACCCTAGCAGTTCCTACAAGCATGGGATTTTCCCCTGGGGATATTTTGTCTGGGCCATTTTATGATGCAAAGGTCTTACTGGAAGAAAGAACTGGCCCTACAAGGTCTGGATGCCTTGCTGAGAGATGAATATTAGTTAGCATATATAATATCCAGTACTGAAGGGGAAAGTAAGAAGAAAGCAAGTCATTTTTAACTTATGCAACAAGCTCACCCTTCTGACTGTGTTTTTCCCCAAATCTGCTTGTTAACTATGATGCAGTATGCACTATTTGCGCTTTATGAGCCCACGAGTCTAAGCCAGTTTACTGGTGAAAGTAACAACTTTCTCATTAAACGTTAATGGCGATGTTTTAATTAGTCCCAGGGTTCTGGTAGAAAGTTAAGTCCTTCCTTCAATAACCAGCACTTACAGATGCAGTAAGTGTTAATAAGCTAATAGGAAGCAAACTAGGCAGGCGTACATTCCATCACCCAGAAAATGGATTTCATGTAGCTTTTTGATGGACTGTTCACACTTTAAGCCAAAAAAAAATGGTTGCTTTTTAATAGGGAGAGTTGGGCTGTCTGCAGCACCTAAAGCTGCAGCCCCATCGTGTCGTTTCCCGTTTCTCTCAGACCTGATGTTTAACTGCTATACAATTTGGAGCTAAAAATGTCACCTGGTTTAGGGGCGGGGAGGAGAAGAAATTCAAACAGCAACCATTCTCAGACTTTTAGCAACCGTGCTCCGACGCCAAAAGAATAAACACAAGAAATCACAAGACATTTAAATAGCTTTGTTTCCGATACGAGCGTTTGTTTCAAGCCACAAAGTGACTTTCACAAAGAAGCAAGAGGGTTATGTGGGAATGGGAAAGGGCTGCATATGTGAGTGTGACACCAGAAAGGATTTAGTGAGAACAGCTAAGGAATAAAGTTTTATCAAATGCTGGCCTAAAGGCCAACTGGACCGACAAGCTGGTTTTCATCTCTATGCAAAAGGAGAGCAGCCAGTTACACTACCCTTCCTCTCCCATCTCTCTAGCCACCAAGGTTTTAGCTGGGGGAAACTTTCTCTTAAACAGAGCCCAGAAAATTGCAAGGAAAACCCAAGACCAGGTTTTCGAAAAGGTTACTGTCTCTTTAGGGATACAGAAACCTTGAGGGATAGTGTATCTTTAGGGGTAGAGAATTGTCACTTTGATGGGTAATATGCCTTGCTGATCCTTGTTGATCTACCCTAGTAAAAAAAGTAGACTGCAACTTTTATTTCCTTAAGTAACCGTCCAGCTTAGAAGATGTATTTTGCACTTGCCAGTTTTGGAAGGAAATGGAAGTTGCACAAAGAAACCTTGAGCTTTTGTCATGGCCGGGAAGCAAGACTGGTTTTGGCAGTGGGCAGGGCTTTTCCAGTGATCCACTGCAGTTTTCCAGGCTCAGTGCTGCTGAGGGGATTCTTGAGATGCAACCCAACAGCAACACAGTGCTTCGGGTGTACTGAAAAGACCTCATTTACTGTAGTTTTGGTACAACAGGGAGAGATCCAGCATCATGAGTGTCAGCTACACAGCATTGTGCTCCAGTGATTTTTCCCCTGGCTTGGTTTAAAACCATTGTATGATAAGCTGATAACTCTAATTATTTTAAACTCAATCATGCAATGGATGCAGGCTTCCAAGGCCTGACTTACCGTATTCAGAGTGAAGCTCAATATCGATGGCTTGATTTCTAGGCAGCTGAGGAAGGAGGGAGTGCTATCTGTCCTGTAAAGCACTCTGGCATAACAACAGGCTTTTTTGGTGCCACTCCTCTCAAACGGTGGCGGTTCAAGATCGCTATCGCTTGGTAGCCTCAATCCAGCTAAAAACCTCTCCTGACAGCTCTTAGCCAGACTCCACCTAGAACAAAAGAGAAAATGCAAAGGAGTGGGTATGGAGCAGAGGCAGAGTATTCAGACATTCCTAAGGATTCCACAGGTCCCTGGATCTCCCACGCCAGGACAACATCTAGTGCTGTCAGTCCTACTGCTTCTGTTTTCCTTGTAACTCATTGACAGTAAAGCCAGAAGTTAGCACGCAATATTTTCACATGAGAGTAGTCCCATTAAAAACATTTGGGATCTCCTGCAGCTTTGTCCAGTCTTAATTTACAAAACCTTTAGGAAAATAGCCCCACAGTCTTTTGCCTACCGGCTGTCTGAACACTGCTAGCAGTATTTATGAAAAGGAGGTAACAGACCATGTATTTCAGTTCTACAACTAAATATAATTTTCATAATAAGACATGCCTCCTCTACAGCTCTTACTCTGCTGTTAATAATGAATAAATCCACCACAGTCCATGTGCTGGGACTTTTTGTTTACCAGTTTATCCAGTTTTTATGAACTAGCCTACCTGAAAAGGATGCATTCATTCTTCTAACGGCATTTTGTGTTTACCAGTCTCTGCATGAGCAGCATTTTGCCCTGTACATGTACTAGGAGGAACAAAGTGCTAGTGTTTTTAAGGATGAAATGTTTCAGGCTGCAGCCAAGACCTTTAAACCAGTAAGCTCTGCGAGGATTTGTGCCTCCTGGAGTCTCCAAGGCTGACTGAGAGCACAGCCTCTCCCCTGCAGAGAAGATCCAGACCCTCTTTAGTCTCCAGCCACCTGCTTCCACAAAATTCGGGTATCTTCAGTGTCTCAAAGACCCCGTGCCTCTCTGTCAGGTCTGTTGTAACAAGGAGGGAGGTTCCCAAACTGTATATACCCAAGATGCAGAGACATGCACAACACACATGCCGAGCACAGTCATTTCCGTAGGAAGCCAGGCTGAAATATGTGCAAGTTACTCAACACAAAGCCAGGCAATCTTCAAGACAGCTGTTAAAAAGCTTGTTAAACATTTGCTAAGCTCTAGGAAGGGGACTGCCTGCTCGTGACATACCACTGCATCCCAACAGCAGCCCCTTGAGTACTCCCAGCCTGCAGGAGTTAATGGGAAAATATCACCAGGGAACAGCCCCAACAGAAACGAGACTTTCATCCGTTGGGTCACTCAGCCTTAATTAGTAGGACACTTTTCAATTAAACTTCAACGACATCTTTGGAAAACGAGTTTTACACCTACTCTATTTCTTTTGGACAAAACGATCTGCTCAGCTGTATTCCCAGCTGTGTGTTTTGTTTTCTCCCAGCCCGCTGGCAGGCACAGCTACTCAGAAAGAGAGTAAGTTGTGTCAACCGCTAAGATTTTCTACAGTACACATTACGTCACCTTTCCTGAGAAACTTGTCTGAGCAGATCCCTTTTCTTGCTTTCTTCTTTCATAATGCCCTTCACATTCCTCTTTCAATATTTGTTGTTCTCTCTGTGGAAGCTCAGTTGCTGGCATTTTAAGGAAAGGTTACATAGCGAAAGGGTCATTAATGGAGCTTTTTTTCTCCTTATCCCATGCTCTGAGAGAGAAAACTGTAGCGTGTGGCACCTTCACAGAAAGGTTTTCCTTCAGAAAAGAGAACTACAGCATTCATTGCTGGTTTCAGAACAAGAAAAGGCATTTAGAGCATAAATTTCCTTGGCTATTTTAATTCTAATAGTGAAGAAGTAAGGAGGAGAAAGAGCAAAAGACAAAAAAACCCCAAAGACAGCAAATTATGCTCTGGTGCAGGTAGGAAGCCAGATCCCTAAATTTTACCCTCTTCCTTGATACTTTGGTGACTCTGCCCCTGATCAAATTGTTCTGTGTCTCTCCTTGCTTCTTTACCAGTCCTGGTCCTTATGAAACGACCTTGGAAGTCAACAGCCATACGTCTTTCAAAATGTCCTCTAGGTAAAATGTACCAGTTGAAGACTGGCCCAGAGAAAACTGAAGGTGCTGGGAGCCTGCCCAGTTCAGGTCCATAGACTTCAAACCAAGCAATGTAAGAACTATAGGATCATAGAACCATAGAATGGTTAGAGTTGGAAGGGACCTTAAAGATCATCGAGTTCCAACCCCCCTGCCCTGGGCAGGGACACCTCCCACCAGACCAGGTTGCTCCAAGCCCCATCCAGCCTGGCCTTGAACCCCTCCAGGGATGGGGCAGCCACAGCTTCTCTGGGCAACCTGTTCCAGTGTCTCACCACCCTCACAGCAAAGAATTTCTTTCTGGTATCTCATCTAAACCTCCCCTCTTTCCACTTAAAACCATTACCCCTTGTCCTATGGCTCCACTCCCTGATCAAGAGTCCCTCCCCATCTCTCCTGTAGCCCCTTCAGGTACTGGAAGGGTCTCCATGATAAGGTATGTTAAGTCTGGGGACAGAATTTGGAATAAGCAGGGAGAAAAAAAGATAAATATTTCCAGCCTAAAGTATATAAACTTGGATGGCCTAATATACATGCTCAGCAGTGTGAAGACGTGCACACACATGTGTGTGAGCTGGCACACGAGAGAGCTGCTTGCTGGTTGTTTAAGTGAGCTCTTTTCCAGTCCCCCATGGCAGCGAGGCAGTGTGTGCGACAGACTGGTACGGTCCCTCAGAGGGCATCAGCTGGAAAGCATGGTAAGGATGCTTATTTTCACTAGAGCTAAACGGCTGAACATGAAGTTGGGAGGTATCTTCTATTGGAACGCGGCTCCTTCTTCCAAACACAGTGGCTCCCACATGATGATCTTGAGTAGGTTGAGTCTTTCTGTGCAAACAACAGAGAAGGAAATCTAATTCCCGGTCTAGGAAAGGCAACCCAGCTAAATGAAGGCTGTTAGCAAGGGCAGGCATATTATCTCTGCCTGTTTGAGAGCCCACTGAGGTCGAACAAAATCTTTTCATTAGCTGCAGCACAGTCTTTTTTTTTTTTTTTTACACTTCATTTGAATGATCTGTTTAGGATTAAGCGTTTCTTGAAAAACACACTGTTTTTACTCCTGGAGCATTTTCCATTCCATGGGACTTGGCAAGGCTTTAATTCAGCAAAATGCTGAATGATCTTTGTCATGTTTAACGTGAAGTGTAACTGAAGCACCCTGTACCCTGCAGTAGTGCTCTCTGCACCTCTGTTTTGTAAGGGATCTGTGAAAAATCAACAGAAAAAATAAGCAAGCTATTTTAAGCAGGCTTAAATTCAGTACAAATAGCTCCTCTTCTTTACTGGAAAACTTTTAAAGGAGCCAAAAAAAAAAAACCAAACAAAAAAGAATTCAAACCCACTGTGCTTCAACAGCAAAATCATCTAAAAAATTAGCTTAATCCTTTTAGGACCAGCAATCTGGGCAGATAACTAAAGCGATGGATAATAAAATAGCCAAGCAATAAAATAGAGCCAGTTAATGGATCAGCATGCTGTTGATGGTATATAAACAATGCTAAAAGAACAGGAAATTATTAAAGCAGAAGGCACTACTTCATTTACTATTCAGCTGGGATTGCTGCTAAGGAAGTCACTAATGCACACTCATAATGAATACTAGAAGTGAGCACAGGCAGAGACTTGCCTGTTACCCAAATGAGGATGACTAGCGCTGAATGTTTCTCTTACTAATCTTTTTTAGAGCCTGAACTTCACTTCCAGAAAGACAAGATTATTTGGGAGGTTCCGTTTTCACACTTAATTGCAGAATCAGACACGTGGAGCTCTTCCAGGAGCTCCCTGGGTTTGGGTTTCTTCTGAGGAGAAAGAACATCAAAGAGTAATAATGCCCAAAGCACCTGCTCCCAACTTGGTTTGCCGACCTCCAGTTGTGTGTTGGACTGGGAATTTCCTTCTCTTTTCTAGAAGGTAGAAAAGAAAAGGGGGAAAAAAAAAAACAAAAAAAACAACTAGCCCAGAGTAGTATCCTGATATGTTTAGGATTTTTTTCACTGGCCTCTGCCAGATCAGGAAAGGCTTCAGAGTATGAGAGACAGCACTAAGAGAGCAGATCAGAAAGGGAAGTACCAAACCAGTGGGTGCAGGATGGGGTCCCTGTCATGGCCAGGTACAGTGTGACCCCCCTGCCCCTTCTGACAGAAACCACTCACAAACCCAGGTGTGAGTGCTTTCCCACTTCTCCTGTCTCAGGAGTCTCAGGTGAAGAGGCAGCTGCCCCATGCCAGCTGATTGGGAAACGTTAGGCGTGAGGTGTGTCTTCCAAAAGGTCTGAATCAGGACTGCAGAGCTCAAATCAGATGCCTAAATTAAGGAGGTGGTCTCAGATTATTAACTTAATTCTAAAGTGCCCAAAAATGTTGGAATGAGACATTCAAATAATGCTACCGAGGAGCACCCAGGTAGGATGGGCTGCTATCACAGGTGAACCCAACAGGGTTAGTAACCAACTGGAAGCTGTGGCTTCTACAGAGAAAAGGCAGATTCAAGACAAACGAAGGGACATGAAACAAAGGGAAATCCTGACCGTACTTTGCCCCCCCCCCCCACCATCTTCCATTTTTCCCCCTTCCTCTCCTCCCGCTCCATCTCTTGTCTTCCCGTCCCCTTGCAAGAACCCAAAATGGCGCTGGTCTCGTTCCAACTACAGATCATTTGTCAAAGATTTGTCTCCTCCCTCTCTGTATGAGCTAATGCTCCCCAGCAAGCTTTCTGGGGTGATGACTCAGTGGCACAAAGAACTGACAGATTAGATGTGGTGTTTCTTTTCTTCTGCTTTTTTTTTTATTTTATTTTTTAAGCATGGCAGTCTCCCCCATCCATAATCAAACATACTCCAAGGATAACGTCCACAAAACCTGCAGCTTCCAGTGAAAGCCTTTATATTTTTTTTTGTGTGTTCTTTTTTTGGTACCAGGCATTGCTGGATGTTTACTCAGTGACATACTGTGTTAAAAGTTGCAACATTCATCTTTAAACATTAATTATCAAGGCATGATTGCTTCAAAAATCCACCGCCCGAGGCCAGGGCCTAGGAAGTGGAAAATGTAATTTCAGAAAGAGATGAGAACAAATGCTGAGCTTTTTAATTGCAGGTTAGTACCAATGACTAACAGTAAAGCAAAAATGGTGTGGATGTATTTGTTGTTCTGAATGCTGAATTCAAAACTTAGCAGGGAGTTCCCAGGGGTTTGGTTTTTTTCCCCCCATTCTTCTTTTTGTAAAAGTGAGAGACGGTGGTGAATTCTGGAGAGGTGCAGAAAGTACATTTCTAAAAATTGAGTTAAAATCATTTCCTACATTGGAAGAAAGAAGGAAAGACGGAAAAGACGGAAAAGACGGAAAAGACAGAAAGAAAGACAGAAAGACAGAAAGAAAGAAAGAAAGAGAAAGAGAGAAAGAGAGAAAGAAGGAAGGAAGGAAGGAAGGAAAAGGCTAAATGAGGTACACAAAATCAGGCAATAGTTGCAATGGTTGTGGACAGTAGCTCATTTGGAGCTTCATTTCAGGAGGAAGGCTGCAGTGATTCTCAGCATCCGTCTCCATCTCCCTCATTCCTACTGGAATCTACCTGGAATTACCAACAGTGTAGCTACGGATCAGACCTGTTTCATCACGTGTAGCAACACAAGATTAAATGCTGCTGTGACTCAATGTTGCCGTATCAGGTGTCCCAGCCTGAAGCCAACAGAACCGATCGCAATAGCAATGGCATCTTTATCTCCACCTTTCTGGCCTTGCTGCTGGCAGACTGGGGACACCTCTGCGTGAGCACCTTTGCAGGGCATCAGAGGCACTTATTTTTCCACAAGGGTAGAGAACTTGCTCATTCTAGCCCCTCATTGCCCTCCAGAGTTGGCCATGCCTGGGAGCACACAACTAATGGGAGGTTCAACCCACCGTCTGGTGGGCCTGAGGCTGGTTTCTTGTCTGCCCAAAGGAAAGACTATAAGGACAGGATCTGTGATGGTTCTGAAGTTGTAGTTATGCACGAAAGTCCAGAGGCCAAAGAGACTCCACTTTGGGAGACTCATCTTTTCTAATGCTGACACCGGGAACCTCCAGTTCTGCTTCTGGGTGTGCTCAGAAGCACTTCTGACCTCATAGCACCCAACAGCTCGGTGCCTGCCTCCCTAAGGTTCAGAAATGGCATACCACTTCACTACCAGAAGGGCCTGATCCACTAGGTGTATCAAAAACCTGCCTAACCCATCATGTTTCATCCAGAGGAGCAGACAGAAGACAAGAAGATGGTGGTAATGATAGTGCTCGTGTCCCATCTCCTTTCCCCACTTGCTTCTATCCAACAGTTCTCTACTGAAAGCTTCGTCCCTGTGACCTGGGAGATGTGGTTTCAACATGCTCCAAGCTGTTATTTTCTGTGCATGGACTTGGTGGTTGGTTTGGGGATTTTTTCAGGGTAAAGTATGGAGGATACCACCAGGTGTATGCTGCAGGCCAGCAGAGCGGTGCCGCGTCAAAAACATTACAATGCAAGAAAAAAAGCCTGTTGCATGCTCTAGGAAAAGGCTGGGTGAGGGCACAAATTATACTGTTGCCTAACCTGGAATAATGCTGAAGCACCATCCTTGTTGAAGGAAATGCATTTGGCGACTTCCACATCTATCCTGCCTGTCTGGAGCAAACCTTAAAGTCAACTACATGGTTGACGACGCATTTCTCCTTGGGGATACCAATGGATTTGTTTTGGAAGAGAGCTCGGACACAACGACCATGGGTGGTATGAATGACCAGGAAAGCCACCCCTGGAGCAACAGAGGAGTGCACCAAGCTAGTGGTGCACTAGCACACAGCACGTTTAAGCAATAAGGGGATGGGGCCAGTCTTTTTTCAGTGGTGCCCAGGGATAGGACAAGAGGAAATGGGCACAAACTTGAATATAAGAAGTTCCATCTAAACGTGAGGAGGAACTTCTTTACTTTGAGGGTGGTAGAGCCCTGGCAGAGGCTGCCCAGGGAGGCGGTGGAGTCTCCTGCTCTGGAGACATTCAAACCCACCTGGACACGTTCCTGTGCAACCTGCTCTGGGTGGACCTGCTTTGGCAGGGGGTTGGACTAGATGATCTCCAGAGGTCCCTTCCAACCCCACGTGATTCTGTAATAACTGTTCTACTTTGATGGGGCTCATGAGGGTCAGGAGAGGTATCTCTGCTGAACTCACCCTGCTTGGACAAAGCAGCAAGCAGAACATCACAACCAGGTAAAACACCATGCCCTCAATTGGTGGGGTCAAAACAGTAACGACGACATTAATTTTTCTCATTCTTCCTCCCTCTCACACTTTCAAATCACCCAGGTGGGTGCTGGTTTTGTCAGCTGATGCCTGGAAGCATGCAGGAGAAGACCTTTGCACTGTCTCCCATCTCCTTTGCCAGCGAGCCAGTGACCAGTTCTGCTTTAACACAGGTACGACCAGGCGATGGAGAGGGTCTCCTGTGCCTCTGCCCTCTTCAATGTCACTGCTGCTCTACGGAAACCCAGCTGCCACTAGGTTTTCCTGCTCGCCTCAAAGATGATTGTCAAGGACAGCAAATATTAATTAAATTTTAATTAATAAATTGAATACTGTGGGGTTAATTATAGCTATTTACAGGGAGTGTATGGGATTTGAAGGGCCTACCTTCTGGTGTTTTTACACAAAGTGTTGCTTCTTCCTCTAAGCTCTAATTAGCCATTTTCTTGTTTTTTTTTTTTTTTTTTTTTTTTTTTTCTTAATAGCCAAATGATGATTGCTCACTAGCTCCCAGCTTGTTCCTCA